GCGTGACAACTGAGGACGCCCCGCGGCGACAGATGTTCGTCCACCGAGCGACCCGTAAATCAATGACGCCTCCACCATTCATGGCGAATAGCGTTAGGGTTGACTCTTTATTATTTTTTATTTATTTTATACAAAAAACATGTTTATATTTATACTTTATAGCAAGCAAAACAAAATCATCACGGCTTAGCTGATGTAAAAGGTAATGCATATACTGAATGGAGTAAATTTTATAGACCTTGGTTCTATTAACGTTCAGATGACACTGTCTTTCCTCGATGCCTTCAAGCAGCGGGCCGTTGGAAGATCGTAGAATTACGATGGATTTCATTATTTTATTAGAAACAGTAAGAACAGAATATATACTCCAAATTATAAAGACTATAAGAAATGTCTAATCCTATATTTTTTATCAGTAATTGTGAATAGTGTGTTATGTGACCCTGAGTACTTGAAAGGCCGTATATTTGAAAAGTAAAATACAGTAAAGGAAATTGGATAATAATTTGTTTGTAAATAATTAAACCTTTCCCGACAGGATTTTGGGAGGACAAAGTTTTTAAATACAAAAACATTAAGTACCTACTTGTGACAGCCCTAATCGCATCAAAATACGTTTGGTTGAAGCTTTATAGGTATTAGTTGTAATTCATGATTTGATCATGGAATACGTTATAGTACCGAGCGTTAATATAAAGCAAAGTCTTATATACAGAATGCGAAAGCAAAGGGTGACATAACATTTTCAATATATATATTTATTAATCTTGTTGGTTTTTCTATTTTCGCGCATAACCTACCAAAAAGAACATCGGAAATTCTATATCATCCATAAATATTTCTTCGAAACCCTCTAATCACTTTTTAAATAGACTTTAAAAAGTTTAACTACAACAGAGAATTGGACCTCCTTTGTAGTTTTAAATCTTTACATGTGTAGTTTCTTTTTTATTTAATTTATTATTCTGATGTAACAACGACTTCGGATTTGCACTGTTGTTGTATATAGTCAGCTGATTTATAAATATTAGTTTCTTAATATAATATAATTATTTTGTAATCTTTTTATGAAAGCAACTAACACTGTTCACATTTTACCGTGTAAAAAATAAATGGAGACAAACTATCGAAATTGCCATTCTAAATATTTTATCATGATGCGACCATACGAAAAAATCCCGAATTAAGATGCATGGCACTAAACTGTCAACTCATTTCCTTGTGTGTTTAAGAGTCAAATGGACATAGTCATAAATCAGTGTTAGTATTCCGAATGTAGGAGTCATAAATCAATTAATTTGACACCACTAATATTAGGTGTTTGTTGAACGAAAACGGAGACTCATTTAATTTTTTTTCCTGCAAATTTTGGATATTGAGAGTCATTTATTCATGTATTATATTCATTATAAGTCGAGTAACGTGTTTATTTTTTTAAATTATTATGTACCAATTAAAATTTGGCCAAGTCAAAGCCAGAGCTTGAATATGAGATTTTCTATACAGAACTCTTGACCTTTAATACCTACTCATAGATCTCAATGTCAACAGACTGTTGTCCGTGTCTGTATTATTAAGATCGGGACAGAGGATGGCGAATACCGCTTGAAAATATTATTTGCTATAAATTTATCATATAAAATAGTAAAATCAAGAGAAGAAATAGACAAAATGAATTTCAGGGTTATATTTGGATTATTCCTACCGAGAAAATTTTATAAATTCGTTTCGAGAAAACTTTATAAGGTTATTAGATATTTTTAATGAAATTTGTTTTAATAATTCATCAGCCTCGGTGTCTCGATGAATGGGGTTTATGGGTATATAATATATAATCTAAGGCTGATTGATTTTTAAGTATTTTTCTTTAAAAATATGTATTAGTATATTATTATGAATGCAAAATTGATCAAATAATAATTAACTTATTAGACGTTTTTTTTGGCACAAAACCTTTTCAAAGGTTGCCATTTTTTGCTCTAAGAGACCTTTTAATATTGAACTTGGCTCTTATTTCACCTTTGTTTTTCATTGGTAAGACAACATAAGTATACATATGTTTATAATAAATTAAAAACATAGAGACGTCCCTTTTCAATTCGATGTTTCTATCCATGGGAAAGGTGAAATAATAAACAAATACTATGGTTTCGTTACAAGGCGTCGGTGGCGGGCAGCAAACGGATGAACACTACACACTCATTGTGCGTGTAGACTAAACAAAGTGCAGCAGTACATTTTCCATTCACCTTGTTAACTTAACGACGATGTAACGTGAAACTTAGCAATACGACAGACCAACTGTAATATGACAGACCAACTAATTAGAGGAAAGATATTAATGTAAAGATTAATTTATTTACCAGAATCAGACATGATCTGAAAAAAAAAAACAAATTTAGAAAGAACTACCTCTCTGAAGAAATTCAAAAGAATTTCTCAATTAATTGATGATAATGATTTGAATGTGTATCATACGTTATCTGTAACAATATGAAACTGTTGTTTGTGAGCGTTACTCGGACAGAAGTTTATAAATTACTATTTAAATTATTTGGTACAACCATTAGTACTCGTCTCGTGCAATTGTGCAATAAATTCTTGTACCACTGCCAGCTGGTAATAGTTGTATTCGCTGAAACTCATACAAATTTTAAATAATATACCGACGGTGAAAGAATTGCAACTAAACTATCATAATATCTTAATAATTTATTGGAAAAACCACTCAGATACATTGACCCGACCTGGAATCGAACCGGGGACGCTATCTGTGAGATAGCGACCTTGAAACTGGCGTGTAAACCACTCGACCACGAAGGTCATCATAAAAAACGTGACACAAGTTGAAATATAAACTAGGTAACGAAAATAAATTATTCTGGAAAATGAATTTCTCTTAAGTATTTGACATTTATACATAGTACTGGTATATATTTTTAATTTGTAACACATCTCAAACCGAATAAAATACAGAATTTGAGCAACGTCATTCAGTCGTATAAGATTTGTAAAAGTCTGAGTACCTATGCAGAATATCGTATAGCACACTTAAACACAAAGATTATTGAAAATATTATATTTTTAACACTTCATAGAGTACTTTCAATAACTATTAACAAGTCTAAATTGTCACTAACCAAATACACTTTAATGGTTTTTCTAAAGAATTTTCTATTAAAAAGAGGTAAAACAATACTTGAAAATATAATTCACCCAAAAGATTTCAATCGCTGATTGAAGACGGAGACAATATTCTTATTTCATTTTTTTTAATTATATTTATTCGTCGAGTATTCGCGACGCTATCATTCTGGGAACGCAAAGAATACAAACGAAACTGGCCACTCGTGATTTACGTTAGCGTAAAATAAAAAGATTTTCTCGGAAGGAATGCGAAGTTCGCTTCGATGTAATGATAGTCTGCGGGTTTACGATTATGCGACTCTTTCGTCACTATTAGAGACGCACTGCTGTCGCTGAGTTTATTTATTAAATACATTTTATCTTTATGTTAACTTCTTTATTAATAACTAGCTTTCGCCAGCGGCTTCGCCCGCGTGGACCGTAGGGAAATGTTTAGTGGGATAAAAAGTATCCTATTATCTAAGTCAGCTATCACCCTATCTGTATACTAAATTTCATCAAAATCCGTTCAGTAGTTTCGGCGTGATTGACGTACGGCGTGAAACATCCAAACATCTAAACATCCAAACAAGGAAACTTTCACATTTATAATATTAATAGGATAATAATAGGATTCCTCTCATCATTTCAATTAAAGAAAATTTTCAATATTTTCTTAAAATAGGTATAAGTAAGACCGAAAGTGCGATCAGTTTTTGAAATTTTATATACTCGTAACCCTGATTCTATTACGTATTTCACTTTATTGCTGACATAGCAACACTTTCTCTTCAAAAAACACCACAGTTGCATTTTTTTCATTGATGATACTAACCCACTTCGATAATGCTAAAACGCGCTTATCGAAAATGTTGCCAAGCGTTATTTGACATGCTGAAACCTGGTTACAGACTGATGGTCTCGATAACACTTGTTGCATACCACAAACAAGGGAAACAAGAGCTTCACCGTAAAGAAACACAATCGTAAACGATTGTTTTCGATTGCCATTCTAATTTCAAAATAAATGACAGTTGGAAGAAATACATCACTTTTCCCAATTAATCAACATTAATTCGAAGAAAGTCTATATATTTTTATTTAAGTCAATTTGTCCTTTTTGGATATACGACAAAAAAGGTTGATATAAAAACTTTTTTTATAGTAACATCGTTCTCGTAAGTTTAGTTTTCGAACTTAAGAAAAATGTCAAAATCTATAAATAATTCGAAAAGTTCCCTTGCGATTTTTTTATAAAAACAGAAAAAACTTTAATTATTATATTTCGATCAAATATTCACAATACTATAATGGAAAATATTCTTAATGAAAAAAATTCATTAAATACAAAACTAAATTGTTTTGGAATATTTACACAACTTACAAATTTATTAAAAAGGAAGTATATTCAATTCTCATTTATTCAAATGTTTTAATTCAATTCACATTTATTCAAATGTTTTATTTATAAAAAATATTTTATGATCGTGAGCGTCTAATATCAAATATCACTATAAATACCATGCAAATTTAATACGAAATGTGACATTTGAAATAGTATAATTTAAAATTAGTTAGGATATAAATTAGCAAAATAATATATTTTTCAATATCAAATGGCCTCACTTGGCAAAATCACTCAGGTTAATCGTTAAAAAATCCTTGAATTTTAAAATTTGCCTATATAGTTTGATTACCTTGTGATTCCCTTATTTTATTTCTATGGAACAAATTTTTTGAAAGTTTTTTAATTAATTTGATGGGAATTATAATAGTATTTCTATCAGTAATAAAAGGACCATTTCATACTAATAATGAAAATAAAAACATTTCAAATTACTTTCCTAATTCTGATAAGAAAAGCCGGCATTTACCTTTTTATCACGTGGTCATTCACACAACACTCACGCAACACTTTAACAGCGACACGTTCCAACACTGTTGGTGATCATAGAGGTGGAAAACGAGAGGGGTTTTATTTTTCTAAGTTATTAATTGATATTTTTCGCGACGATACACGCGTTTCGTGTAAAACGGACGGTCCGAAGCAGCGTTTTTATCGTACTACCGAACCGAAAGCGAGCCGGTATGCGACTGAGCTCAGCTACTCGGATTGTAATTTCTTTTCGCTACAGCAACGTTCCTTTGATAGGAACAATCACCAGGATCACCGGGCAAAACTGATTGGTGAATTTAACTGAATAGTTTTTCTATTGACTTAATTATTGGGCACGCTTTGCAATATGTTTTGTTATTGAGATTCCCAGGAAGGCCGATATGAAAATTTACACTACCTCGTTTTCTTTTGCTTGTTCGTTTAAAAACTTCTTACTTCGATTTGTTTTACACAACAAAGGTTGGCATGTTCTCTAGTAATGGTAGTGTATGTTAATTCGAGATTAACTCATCTATATTAATCTGTAGTTAAATAAATTCCCAAAAAATATTTTTGATAATGACTCGTTTATGTTTTGAAATTGTGTAAAATTATCATAGAAACATGCCTGGGATTTTTTTTTATTTTATTTCAGTATAGAGACATACTTTACAAAATAGTGAAAAATCATAGTTTAAATTTTATCACCGTCTGCTTACGTCATTCGTATAATCAGTATTATCTAGCCACTGAAACAAGGTTGGATGTGCTGTCTATGATAACTGAGGTTATATTACCCACCTGAATGTCGGCTTATCAACAACACATAAAGGAAAACATTAGTTAAATAAAATTGGGAAATTACCTTAATATCTGTAGCGGGTATCATCGTCAGCCTATTGATGTCTCTAATGCTGTGGCTCAGGCCTTGACATAGGTGGAAACACTTATACTCTTCGAAACACGTACAAGTTTTAGACGAAAATTTGAATGAAATAAGAACTATATTAACCGTTTTAACTTCATACTGATTTCTTATATTTTAACGAGCTATATGCGTTTAATTAGTTTTAATAAAAGTACTTACTTCATTCAAACTTGTACTCGACTATAGATACGAGTGTCAGTGTTGGTCACTCACACTCGGTCTTTCTCACTTTCCACTCGGGTCCAATACGGATTGTTGAGTATTAACGACTACAGATACAGACGTCGATATATCTTCAGAAGCACGTAGGAGCTCGAGATAATGAAATTTTTGCCATCCCATTATCGCCCTTTGTGAAAGTAGTTTCACCTCCACATCGCTAATTGCAACGCTATCGAGTTCCTCCATGTGTTACATTGGCCAGTCGGATCAAGAATTAGATTTATTATTTCATTCAAAGCATTTAGTAACTAGCTGATGTCGTGAACGTCGTACCGTCTTTTTTTTTCAAAAGGAAATTTCTTATCTTCTAATTGGTGAAGTCACTCATTGGCTGAGTGGCTTTACTTCCGGTTTCAATGTGCCGTCATCTCTGAATTCTCCGATTCGATTCCCGATTGAATCAGTGTATAAAATGTAATTATTTATATAGTATTTTATTTATTTAAACTTAAGTGCAGGCAAAACTATACAAATGGCGGACTTAATGCCATTAGGCATTCTATAGCAGTGAACCAGAGAACTAGGCGCAGATAAGATGTGTGGCGACACAGAAAAGTCATGTAAAGGGCGATATATAGATAAAATTATAAAACAGACACAGGGAATGTGCACCATATTTCCATAATTAAAATAGAATAGAAAGCATCAATTTGGCATAACATACAAAATAATATAATAAGTAGTATAAGAGTAGTAAGTTATAACAAACGAGCCTCTATTCAGTGCGAGCCGAAAAAACATTTTCAGCAGACTATGTACATCTCCAGTGCAAATTCAGCCTAATAATCATAAATATTTTATCGGGTCTGGGTGCAGTGGTAGGTAGTATCGTTTTACATAACATGTTCTTTAACTACTTAATTTGGAGTCTGAAAAATGTATGTAGTTTTGTCCAATATTCTATTTATGCCATAATAAAAGAATTTTAACACGGTCCAGTATTTTCTGAGTTTATTCGCTACAAACAAAAAATAAATCTTTCCAGTTTATAACGTTAGTATATATAAATTAATGGCTCAACAAAAAGAGTTGACAATGTTAACTCATTGTGTTGCTCTGAAAATAAAGATTTATATGTTAGTAACAAAAACAAATTATATTACTACTTAAACCTAAATTACACTTAACAAAATTCCTATCTGAAAATAAAAAAAACAACATTTAAAGTTATTTTTTATCCAATCCTCTTGAAAATATGTATTTTTAATAATATTTATAATTTGTTTATTTTAACATTACACACTTTTTAATATGTGAGCTTTTTAATAATTTGACATCTATAAATTAGCAGTATTAGAAAACCAAAGAGTTTTTATGCACTACATACTATATATATTTAAATATTAAAGAAATACTTTTTCTTTTCATATATATAAAGGAAAGTAAACAAATTTGGAAAATAATGCTTAATATAATATACTTATTTAAATGTTATTCTTAAATTATTTATAACAGAGGAAAATTTATAAATTGTCGATTAAAAATAGAATCAAACGTTATATGCACATCTACATGTGACCATTTTTTCTTTGGATCAAAACATTTAAGATATGCTGTTTAGCTGCTTTCCTCTATTGATTAATAAATATATAATTGTTATATACCCGTTATAATTTTTTGAGAATTATGGCACCATTAATAAAAATAATCATTGCATAACAACATTTAATGAAAACTATATATTTGTGTTCACACACAGTCTTTCGCCCACTTAATACATGTAAAGAACATACTTATGAGTAAAGGCTATTATAAAGTTGATGATTATTTTAAGGACCGCGATGCATGGAATTAATAGCCTTCGCTTTGTTTTAAACGACTAATTATATGTACAACCTATGACCTGCAGACTTTGAAAGTTGTATTTATTATTGTGATAATAGATATTATTTTGGTAATGACATGATTTATGTAAATGTCATTACTTATGATAAAGAGCTGGTAAGTTTCTTTCGCTTGTTCTTCTTGTCAGCTAAAAGACTTCCTGAACAAGTGGTAGGAGAAAAAAATTTTTGGACGATTCAAAGTGCTTGTAATAAGTTTACTTGAGTAAAGATATTTTCATTTCTTAGTATTTCAGTACGTCATTATAAGTATTTTTGACCGCCATATATTAGATTTATAATAATTGCCAAACGACTCAATTTATATACGATGTGATAATTCCCGCTCTCGTCTGGCGAATAAGCAAATTTTTTGCAACAGGACTGCATCGCTGCAAAAAGTTACCATGGAAGATCTACATTTGAAAATTTTTCAATATATTGTAATTAACTTAATAATTAAGAAGCGCTTAAAAAAATATCTGAAAGCTCTTTTTCACAGACATATAAACTGAAGAAATCTATAAATAAGGGTGAGCAGGTTGAAAGCATCGTGGAGTTATGTCCTGAACCTTCCTTGCAGGATTCCGGATCTATATCCCCTAGTAAGGGTACTCCATAGCGGGTTTTATCAGGTAGGTCAATCACATTTTAACCTCGCCCCTTTAGGGACAGGTCCTGCTGAAGAAGCTCTTCAGCGATTTGAGTGGTCTATTTCTCCTGCAATATCAAAACAAAAAGATTAAAATCATCGGGGTAAGTAATTGTAATAGGAACATCTTAAACAGAATAAGAGATAGCAGAATTAATGTGTGGCTGCACGTTTAATCAACATAACAACAATTCACAAATTCACAATAGAAACTACAATACTGTTACAAACGTCAGACATAGTCTTTTTCTAGAACAAAAATAAACCATAGAGTATCTAATCACTAAAAATCATCATAGATTAAAACTCACAATATGGATTAAAGTTTGTACATAACATTTACTTTCCCTGTAAAAGATGATAACAGCTTATTCGCCCAGAGGATTCCATAGTAATGAACTGACAATTGATTGCAGAGGTGTATCTATGAGTTTTTATAAATTTAGTTTGTCTGGTGCTTTTATTTGTCTCTTGCTCCGCCTCAACTGTATAGGCTCGACCGTTTCTGAAAAAACTGGACTGGGACTTTGTAACCTCTGCTGATGTTGCTGCTTAATAGTTTCAGTCTCTTTAATGTCTATCTCTGCATTATTTTCAGAACTCTGTATGTTTACAGGAGACTCAGTATTACCATAAGAAGTACTAGGTATAACTGAATTCTTATGATCATGATTATATAAAAATTCCTGTTTGAATGACTCTATCATTGATCGTTTTCTTATGTTACCTACGTGTATGGTTTTAATACTTCCCTCTATGTTTACTAAATAAGTGACTTTGCCATATTGTTTTACTATAAGCCCTGGAATCCATTTAATATTATTATTTTTAAAATTTTTTACCCATACTTTCTCTCCCTCTTCAAAATATTTAAAATATTGCTTTGAATACAGATTAAGTTCTGAACTACTGGTTGTTGATACTGCATGAGACATACAAGAGTTTGGTTTGATTAAATCTATAAGAGTTCTTGGCTTAATCTTAAACAACATTTCAGCTGGTGATTTGCCTGTTACAGTTGAAGGGGTATTTCTATAACTAAATAAGAAATTATCTAATTTTCTGTTCATAGACAAACCTCTTTGATTTGAAGAATCAAATAATTGTTTAATCAACCCATTTTTTATAGTTTGAACTGCTCTTTCGGCCTGCCCATTGGATTGGGGATGGTAGGGTGGTGAAAATATATGTTTGATTCCATTACTTTTACAAAATAATTGGAATTCTCTAGAAGTAAATGGTGGACCATTGTCAGACACTAGCACCACTGGCAGACCAAAAATAGCAAATGAATTTCTTAGTTTATCAATTGTGTTCAGCGCACAAGTACCCTTATTCATAATATACACATCTAACCACTTACTATAACTATCTATAATTAATAAAAAAGTGACACCATTTTTCACAAAAAAATCTATATGGACTCTATACCAATTATGAGGTGCTTTTGGCCATGGCTGAAGACATGCATTATTTGAAACATTTCTGGTGGATTGGCACAACACACATTTATTAATCATATTTTCTACATCCTGGTCTATTCCAGGCCAATAACATGTACCTCTCACAACCATCTTAGTCCGAACAATACCTAT